TTGCATAGACTAAGTCGATCTATTTGCTTCTGTCTAAAAATATGTAGTTATTTAATAGTAATTTCACAAATGCATGTAGATCAACTATACAGAGATAACATCGACTTACAAACTTAGACTTTGCAAAGGTGCGAAATATTTCATGAATTTCTATTAACTTTTCCATCAGTGTGAAAATCGAAATAAACTAAAAAAATGAAAGCACAAATGAAAGAAACGAACTACCTAGGATTTCAAATATATTATGATGAAGTACTATAGTTATGGGTATCGATGTTTTTTTTTTACAAAACAATTGATTTACTAACCGAGTTGAACCGATTATTCAATTTTTAAATAAAATCGAAAGTTTAATTTTATTTAAATTTATAATTGTGTACTATATAATTTTTAAAATTTATAAAAATAACAGAATCGTACTGAATATATTTAAAGATATGTTAAAAAATATACAGTTTAATTAAAATATAATCTACATTAGAATGAATTGTGGGTGGTAAATTTTATGCACTTGTATATGTGTATAAATAATCATATAATATATTATATCTACAAAAGTTAAATTTGAAAGAAGTGAATGAAGTAGAAAATAAATTAAAAATGAGAGACAAGAGAGAGTTGATCTGATGGTAAGCACTCCTCACTTCCAACCTTAAGGTTGTGAGTTCGAATCCCCAAGAAAGCATGATGTGGGAGCTCCTAGGGAGGAGTTTAAAATAAATTTGAGATGGGTGGGGGGAGGATAATAAGAAAATTAATCTTTTTTATAATAATAAAATTGTCCCTAATTAATACATTTAATAACAAAATAATTTTTGGTATATAAAATATAGTCATTAGCGACGATATAATTTTGTCGGTAGTAATAACCTTTTTAGTGACAAAATATACTATTATCTACAAAAAATATACTTTTTACGACAAATGAATTTGTCACAAATGTTTAAGCATTTGGGGACGATATTTCTTTTTGTAGTTAATTTAATACTTTTAGCGATGAAGCACTAAATTGTCTTTGTATACTTTTAGAGACACACATTTTGTGACGACTGAGTGACAAATTATTTTTCGTCTCACAAGAATTTTAGTGACGAAATATGATTTATAAATGACGAAATTATTTGTCCCTGATAATCAAATTTGTTGTAGTGTTAATTCATCAATATAATGATTTAGAAAATCGTTTGACAAGGAACCCATGTTTAGATTGAAAATTGGGAATTTTGGTCTTTGAATCACTTTTGAAAATCATTGATAGAACTCCTTGAATGAGAGGTTATTCAGGAATCAAGAGTCACCATACCATAATTATTGAAGAACCATGAAATTGAAGAAGAAATCAGTTGAAAACCCATCTTCTAGCTTGAGCTTCAGCAAGGTCTTCAATTGAGTTTTTGAGAGAATCTATTTTGAGAGGGGTAGGGTCAATTTGAAGAATGGGGTCTAATTTTAGGTTTTGGGGTTTTACCCAACTTAAAATACCCTAAAATAGGTAGAATAACCGTTTATAATGATTTCCCAAGGTACCCAAACTACCCCTCACTTAGTGGGACCTTTTAAACAAGTCAGACTTAAGTTTTACTTTCGCAGATTTCGTCGGGAAACAAGTTCGCGACGGGGGGTGTTCCCATATGTTTTCTGGAAATTAAATTCGAGACAGTAGAGTCCGCGACATGTGCGCGATGCGGACCAAACATTTGGCCCTTGGTCGAGCTAGTCCACGACGTGGACATGCTCCCTCCAAGTACAACTTCAAGCTGCCTTGGCAGTTTGCTTGGCCAAGGTTGAGATCCTCCTCGGGGATACTTAAGGTGGCCCCCGGGGAGTCGTATCAGAACGTTTTGACCCTAAAAACATTTATTAAGACACTAAGGCCGTCTCAACTTATTTTAGACTCCAAACAACACATAAAAAAATGAACAACATACTAGAACACACCAACACGTAAAAGACTAGTTTCCGAACGTCTGGGTCGTTCCTTGACGTTTGACTTCCAAACTCTTTAAAACTGACTTAAAAGGCTATTCTTCATTTTTTTGACAAGTTATTAATGCACAATACCCATGAGAGGCTCTATTTTATCCTACTTTATTTTGAAGGTCGTTACAATATCCCCCACTTAGGAACATTTCGTCCTCGAATGACACTTAAAACACTTCTGAGGACTCAATGACCCAACTAGCAGCTCACAATACACAACATACAGCATCAACATAAGAGCACACATCAAGAGGAACATCAACTCCATATAAAAGGCTCAAAACAACTTTGTGCAATTCAAGAAAGTAGCAACACATCTACCAACTCCTTATCCATCAACTTTATTATTTCCCATTTCATTGGAGGAACTCCCTTCTCCAAATCATCACTATGCTTAAAACTCTTTACTTCTCATAAGTATAGGAGGAACTACCTTCTCCATATTCAATGAGCATCAACATATATATTAAGCAATAAACAAGACATTTCTTTAACAAGACAACATCAAGCATGCTCATTACAACTCTCATGAAGTCAACATCACACAACATCTATGGGTGCAATTCTCAACCATGAGAAATAAAGTTCGTGAAAACTCAAAATACAACTTAAGCATGATTTTTTCACAAAAATATGCACAGACCGGATGTAAGGTTTATGTCCCCCTCCTTGTACTTTGTCTATTTTATTTATGCTAAGGCCTAGGGGTGTTGCTAAGCCCCTGACCCCCCCCAAGGGTCGTTAAAATAAAATAAAATAAAATAAAAAAACCTTAAACTCTAAACCCTACATGCTAAACCATAAACCCTAAACCCTAAACCCTAAACCCTAACCCTAAACCCTAAACCCAAAGCCCTAAATCGTAAAACATAAACCCTAAACCCCAAAACCTAAACCGTAAACCCTAAACTCTAAACTCTAAACCCTAAACTCTCAACCCTTAACCCTAAACCCTAAACCCTTAATCATAACCATAAAGTCTAAATCTTAAACCCTAAAGCCTAAACCCTAAACCTAAACCTAAACCATAAACCCAAAACCCTATACAATAAACCCGAAACCCTAAACCCTAAACCATAAACCCTAAACTCTAAACCATAAACCCTAAACCCTATACTCTAAACCCTAAACTGTAAACCCTAAAACCAAAACCCAAAACCTTAAACCGTAAACTCTAAAACCTAAACCCTCAAACTTCTAGATCAGTGGGTGAAACTCAACACTGACGATAGTGCCTTGAGCACCCCAAGCAGAATAGGAGCAGGGGGTATACTACGGGATTATGCAGGGGAAATGTTACTAGCATTTGCCACTCCCTTGGGGGAGGGAACTAACAACAAAGCCGAATTAGAAGTAGCTATTTTTGGGATGACATGATCTTTGGAACTAGGATACAAGACTATCCTTTCGGAAGTAGACTCACAACTTCTGGTGGATTGGATCAAGATCAAAACAAACCCTCCATGGAGCATTAGCAAGCAAGTACAGCGACTCCAAGCACACACCAGGAAGGCACATGAATCCAGGTGTAAACATATCTACAAAGAAGCCAACTTTGTGGCCGATTGCCTTGCAAAACACAGTCATAAGTTCCCTAGCCCACAACTATACTTCAACAGTCAACAATTGCCAAAGAAAGCAAAAGCTTACCATCAATAAGTCATGCTGGAAATAGCAAGCTTCAGGAGAAAGAAGATTAAGAGGATCAAAGAACCCCCTTGAGGTTGGATACTATCTTTTCAACCTAGCAATAGTTTAAAGAATTATAGCTTTTTTGTATGGGTATAGGTTTTCTTTCTAATTTGTAAAGGGAGAGAGTCCCTAGTTTATGATTCCTAGAATCTTTGTATTGAGAGAATTCCTTTCTTTTAGGTGCTTAGTTTCTTGGTTTCTCCTTTTTTTTGAAGGAGATGAGTTGACTAACCTTGTAGAAAGGTCGACAACTGAACCACCATAGGATCGGAGGTTAGGCTTATGTCTCCCTCCTTGTAATTTTTGCTTTATAAGTTAATGGCTGGGGGTGTTGCTAAGCCCCTGACCCCAAAACTCTAAACCCAAAACCCTAAACCCTAAACCCTAAAATCTAAACCCTAAAATAAAAACCCTAAATCCTAATAGAAAACCCTAAAATCAAAAGCCTAAATCCTAATCAAAAACCTAAATCCTAATCCTAAACCCTAAACCGTAAACCCGAAACCCAAAACCCAAAACCTAAAACCCTAATCCTAAACCCTAAACCCTAAACCCTAAACTCTAAATCCTAAACCCCAAACCATAAACCATAAACCATAAACCCTAAACTATAAACCCAAAACCCAAAACCCTAAACCAAACCTAAACCCTAAACCCCAAACCCTTAACCTTAAACCCTAAACTCTAAACCCTAAACCCTAAACCCTAAACCCTAATTCCTAACCATAAACCCTAAATCTTAAACCTTAAAGCCTAAACACTAAACCCTATACCCTAAACCCTAAACCCTAAACCTAAACCATAAACCCTAAACCCTAAAAAATAAACCTAAAACCCTAAACCATTAACCTAAAACCAGAAACCATTAACCCTAAACTCTAAACCCTAAACCCTAAACCCTAAACACTAAACCATAAACCCTAAACCCTAAAACCTAAACCCTAAACCAAACTCTAAAACACAAACCCTAAAACCTAAAACCTGAACGCTCAACCCTAAACCCTTGACCACAGACCCAAAATTCTAAACCCTAAACCTTCAACCCACAACCTGAAACCCTTCCCCCCCTCCAGTACCCTTAAACAGATTCAAAGTATTATGGTTGACTTTTTTTGGGGAAGAAGAGATGACAAGAAAAAGTATCATTGGTCATCATGGAAAAACCTCAGCTTTCTGTATGAGGAAGGGGGAATAGGAGTAAGGCAAATGAGTGATGTTTGTCAAGCATTTCAATTCAAACATTGGTGGATATTTAGAACCAAGCAAACTCTTTGGGGAGAGTTTCTTAGAGCTAAATATTGCCAAAGATCGAATCCCATAAGAAAAAAATGGGATACGGGAGAGTCTCAAGCATGGAAGGTTCTCATGAGAAACAAACTTTAGGTGGAAAAACATATCCAATGGAAAATTAAAAATGGCTCCTGTTCTTTTTGGTGGGACAACTGGTTAGGAGTAGGACCTCTTGCTCAATTCACAACCATTAGCCACAGATTAGATAATGAAACTATCGCTGATTTTATGGCAACTGGGCAGTGGAATGTCGACAAACTGATCAGGCTTGCTCCTCAGAACCAATTACCTGCAATTCTGTCCACTCCAATACAAATACAGCAAGCTCATCCGGACCTGGCAATATGGAACCTCAATTCGAATGGTCTCTTTACAGTCTCTTCTGCCTGGGATATTATTAGAGAAAAAAGAGCCAAAACCAAGTTTAACTCCAACACTTGGAATCGTAATATTCCCTTCAAATGTTACTTTTTGTTACGGAGAACAATAAGAGGCAAACTCCCTACCAACGAAAAGCTGTCTAAGTTTGGAGTCGAACCAAGTGACTACTACTACTGTCATTCTCCAGGTGCAGACACCATTGAACACATTTTTAATACAGGGAGCTTTGCCAAGAATGTTTGGAGATTTTTTGTTGTTCAGTTAGGCATCCAAACCGACTTTCTGCCTCTTAGAAATATGATCATGAGGTGGTGGAGTTCTACTCAATATAACGAAGCACACAAGCGTATTCTCCAATCTACTCCAATTTTTATTTGTTGGAATTTGTGGAAAAATAGATGCGCAAAAAAATATGGAGGCAAACAATCCAACATTGCAACAGTTAAGCACTTAGTGATTTTGGACACCTTCAAGCTGCTGCACACAACTTTTCCATATATATCTTGGCCTTTGGGATGGAACAAGCTTTGCACACTCATTGAAAAATGTACTCACGACATCAAGGTCACTGCTGTCCAGTGGATTAAACTACCAGCCATGTGGGTTAAATTAAATACGGATGGGAGTGCCTTGAGTAATCCGGGCAGCATAGGAGCATGGGGTGTGCTCAGGAATTCTTTGGGAGAAATTATCTTTGCATTTTCAACTCCATTAGGCGAGGGAACCAATAACCAAACGGAGGTGGAAGCTGCCTTATTTGGTTTATCGTGGTGTGTACAATTGAATTATATGAACGTGATCCTTGAAGTGGACTCCCAACTCCTTGTGGATTGGCTCATGAACAGCACATCAACACCGTGGTCTATCTCACTCCAAATGCAAAAGCTTCGCCAAATTGTCACTCAATTCACTCACTTCAAGTGCATTCATACTCTTAGGGAGGCAAATTTTGTGGCGGACTCACTCTCCAAACACAGCCACCAGCTCTCCAGTCCTGACGTGTACTTCAACGTCTAGCAACTCCCCAAACTGGCAGCAACTTATCCTCAGCAGGACCTCGCAAGTATGGCAAGCTTCAGAAGAAGAAAATTGAAGAGAATTAAAGAACCTCCTTAAATTTCATTGCCTAGAGCTCCAATGAAGAAGCCAGAACTTCCTCAGGATCTCTTTTGTTGGATGATCTACCAGTCACTCCTTACAGACTGTCCCTTGGTAGGAAAGATTTTTATTTAGTCTTTTTCTTGTAAAGGGAGAGTCTCCCTCATTTATGCTTTCCTAGATTCTTTGTATCGAGAGGAGTCCTCTCATATAGGTGCTTAGATGATAGGCTCGTTAGTAGTTTGGGAGAGAGTTGGAGAACCTACTAAGGTACGTAGTAGGCTACCAACTCTCATACCACCATTAATTGGAGGTAAGGTTTATGTCCCCCTCTATGTACTTTGTTTCTTTTATCTATGTTAAGGCCTGGGGGTGTAGCTAAGCCCCTGACCCCTCCAAGGGTCATTCAAATAAATAAATAAATAAAAAAAACCTGAAACCCTATACCCTAAACATTAAACTATAGAATTTACACCCTAAGCCCTAAACCGACGACCCTCAACCCTAAACCCTAAACCCTAAACCCTAAATCCAAACTCTAAACCCTAAACCCGATCGCACTCTTATTTCTAAAATGTTTTCTCTCTCTAAGTTCTCTAACTAATAAAAGCGCTCCAGCAGCTGTCTCTAACGGTTACTCACTCAACAGACGCGCACACCACTGGAATGGCGCGTGAGCCACCGATGGAGCTCATCCGGCCACCGAACCAAGGTCAATCGGAGCGCCATGGCAATGGCAACAAACCCCAATTACTCACATCCCATTATACATCCCAAAGCTCCTCGAAATCGCAAGATACAGACACGGTCAACACAGTGTTTTCGGAGACGGAGCTGGAAGGAATTACAAAAATTATTTCCTATGAAACTACTGGATCGAATTATGGAAAAGTGTTAGGAGTCATGGATTCTATAGTCCCGATCTGCAACATAGCAAAAAATCAATCGATTTCACCGTCCCAATCGATCGCAAGCACGAAGAGATTGCAGAGAGAAACGCGAATGAATCGCCTGAGTCGCGCCGTCAAATTCAAGTCACCTCTGGTCAAATTCGAACTGTATCAACCACTAGGGATTACTCACCTCAAGATGGCGTACATCTCATAGATATCTGAGTCCAAATGGATGGTGGAATCGTCAGCGGGGAGAATTCCGGTGAAAATCGATCCAAGGTCGCCGGGGTTCATGAAAAATGTGGGAATATGATTTTTTCCCCTCCAGTAGACATACATCTTTCAGAGATTTCAAGCAATCTTGATGGAGGAAATATCATTGACAATCAAGTGAATCGACCAACTGATCATCCAAAGAATGTCAATGAAGGGACTAGTAGAATTGTGCATATCAGTGAAGGAAGTGGCTCATTACCAGACAGATCTGCAGGAATTAACATCCAGTTAGATGCAAATTCTCAGCTAGGGGCAAGAACCTCACAAGACCGAGATGATGCAATGCAGGAAAACAGTTTGAATGGGCAGCAGACCAATGAGCAACACACAAAGATTCATAACTCTGAAATTTCATCGAATGAAGCTCATTCCTCTAATTTTTTATTTGGTATTAAAGGTATTTCCACTAACATAACTCCAATTCCCATTACATATGCAATGCAGGCCGCAACAATACAGGACAAGCCAACTGGTGAACTTGGACAACCACAACAATAGGAAAAGGATCGAATAAGCCAAGTGAAGCAGTCTAAGAACCATGAATTGCAGACATGTAATTCAGTTACAAAAAATAATAAACAATCCTTGGCTGATAACACCGAGGCTCATATACACAATGTGGTAAATGAGCACATCAGTAGGTCTGTTGAAGTGTCGAAACAGGTACAAAACCAAGGTCACACAGACAAAGAGCGATTTCAGGAGCAACCTAAGGAACTAAACCTACAAGGAGGCAAAAGTAGAACTTATGATAGCAATGACAAAGCCAACATGAACTACCACAACAATTTTCCTAAGATCTCTAACATTTACACTAGGTATGACTCTAATAATCAAAGGAAGGGAGATGTTATCACCAAGGTGAACAATGATATTACTCAAGACAATGGAAAACAATCAAAGGGTCAACAACAAAGTCAGGATCAAACCAATGCGAAACAGAACAGAGTCCCGGAACCTGCCCCATTCACCATCGTTCAATCATTTGCTGCTCGTCTAAGGTACAATCAATCCAAAAAAGAAATCCCTATTGTTTTGAATGATCATATTCATACTACTAGACAAGGATTACCTGTTGTTCTTCTTGAAGAAACTGATTATAGTATTAAATTGGTTGAATTCTGTAAATATACTCTAGTGGTCAAATTTACCAATACCATGCCTAAAATGGAGATGATTAGAAAAAGTTTCACAATTCAGACCCAGCTAACAGGGGGAGAGAAAATTGGCCACTATAATTCTAGACATGTGTACATTGGCCTTGATAATGAATTTGATTATGTTACGGTTTGGACTAAACAAAAGACGAGTATAGAAGGTCAAATAATGAGAATTCAAGCTTGGACCCCTGATTTTACTCCTGAAGAAGAAACTCCTATAGTTCTTATTTGGGTTGCTTTACCTGAACTACCATGGCATTGTTACAATAAAGTTCTTTTGACTACTGTCCTGGAATCTATTGGATAGGTTCTATACCAAGATTCCCCTACCTCCCAAAGGACTAGAGGCAGTATGGCTAGGGTGAGGGTCCAGGTTGACCTTAGCAAAGCTAGACCTCCTCACATTTGGATGGGTTTCAAGAATGCGGATCCAAACAAAGGAAGATGGAAAAAAATTCAATATGAAGGTATCCCAGACTATTGTATGTATTGTACACATCAAGGGCACCTGGATAATGTGTGTACTATTAAAAGGAGAGATGAGGACTTCAAAAGGAGGAAAGAAATGGAAAATGAAAAACAAAACAAAACAAATAGTGGACAAGGCAGTGGTATAATAGAAACAAGTACAATGCCACAAGGTCAGCAACATATAATGCAATAAAAGGAATACAAGAATGGTGAGACCCAAAAATAAAATCAAGTGCAGCAGCAACACACAAACCAGCAATAGGCATTCAAGAAGGGACAATAGAATCAGCAGTACCAAGAAGTCACAGATCAGGAAGAGCAATGGAAAATTCAGAAAAGGAAGCAGACTAAAAACCAAGAACATCCACCTCCCAAAACAACATGGAGACCTGTATCACCACAATCTAAGACAACCAAAGCTAATATGCATCAGGCATCTTCCACAACAGGTATATGTAATATTCCTATTCACAATAATTATATTGATTTAACAATGCAGGAACAACCAAGCAAAGACACTGCTGGGGGAAGCACCAATATTGAAATATTAGACCATGGATTGCAAAGAGCTGAAGGGTTAAAAGATAACCCACCTACAGATTCTAATCACATTAAAATGAATTTGCAACATGAGTAAGTCATAGCTAATAATAATAACAAGACCACATGTATTGACTTATCTCTCCCAGTACCCCATTCCCCCATGCTATTTATGTTGATGCTGAAAACTCTAATGAAGTTTATGGAGGGATGGATGGAGGGTGTCAGGAGAATCCAACTAACTTGCAGGATGGGGTATCCAAAGGGGGGAATTTGTCTCATGTTATGCATGAGGGGGTTCACAATGACCTTAGTAGAGACCTTAGAGCCCATGCAACCAATACTCATAACAATGTCAAAGCAATCCATCATGCGCAGGAAACTCAGAAAGGTCCCCTGGTTCAGGATACTGATAAAAGTGGGTCCAAACAGGTTGCCAGTACAGTGGAACAGGTAAAGGTTCCTAGAGACTACAAACAAGCAGAAGGGTCAGAGTGATTGGCCTGCTACCAATAGCCAGATTCAGCAGAAGAAGGGAGCAGTAGGTATTGAAGGCAGGACTTAAACATTATTGAGGAAGAATTTGGAGAGAAAACTCCAAATAACAAATCTAGAGGAAAAATGGGCAAGAAAAAGAGACAGGCTATAAAAAGAAGACAACAAGCAGAAACAGGGTTACAGGGTAATGATGCAGGAAGTCAGCAGAAAAATTCAAAAGTTAACACTGGCCAAAATACTCAAGATGAAGGGGATGAATATGATATCATGCAGTCTGAAGATGAATTTGATCAAGATACTCAATCTTTGAATGAAAATGAAGAGGAAGAGGAGGAGACAAACAGGCAGCTTATTAAGGCATTTGGGTCTACAATGTTTCAACAAGAGATTCAAGAGGTGTCTAATCAACAAGGGCTATCTCCTAGAGGTAGACAAAACTCCAAGCAAGCTAATACCAACACATATGCTAATTCAAGCAGACCCAACACCAGGTTTAGAAGTAGAGGTTTTTGATGATCACAGTTCTTTGCTGGAATGCGAGGAGTATCAACTCCCAAGGATCTCTTGAAAGACTTCAAACTCTCAAGAAGCTACATAATATCACTTTGATAGCAATTCTTGAACCATTTGCTGATAATGTTCAGATTAACACTTACAAAAGTCAATTGAATATGGACCAAGTTCATTACAATAACAATGGAAAAATATGGATTTTCTGGAACACTGATGTAACTTGCACTACTTTGGAAGCTGAGGATCAACATATTACTTGTGAGTTAAATCATGTGGAATGTAGTGAAAAATTCATCATTACTTTTATTTATGCAAAATGCAAGGAGCATCTTCGAAGACCTCTGTGGGATAAACTGACTCACTATTCTAGTAAGGAGGAACCTTGGTGCACTATTAGTGATTTTAATGTGATTACTTCTACAGAAGAAAAGTTAGGGGGGCTGCCTTATAATATGAACAAAAGTTTTGACTTTCTTCGTGTGATTGAGACTTGTGGTTTGATTGATATTGGCTATAGTGGTGAACACTTCACATGGTGTAATCAAAGGGCTAAGGAAGCAAGGGTCTG